CTGGTGCCCGGCAGCCTCACCTGTCCCCTTCCAGCTCGCACACGTATTTCACCACCGGGCTCCAGTCAAAGGCTCCCGGTTCGTTCTTCAGCCACTTCTCCAGCTCCCAGCGGTTCCGGTCCGTGTAGTCCAAGGAGATGATCTCCTGGAAGCGCTCACAGGCGGACAGAAGCTGGTAGATGGTGGGGCCGCAGCCGACGTCTATCAGGGTATGGCCACTGAGCCCGTCTGGTGTGGAGGAGGGAAAGCCCATCCCGGTGAGGCCATGCCCCAGGACAGAAACATCCCACCACGTTTCCACTATATAATATACTATATATAATACAGATACGTATGTATGTTTATATACGTCTATCAAGCAGCTCACTGTAGTGGGCACGCATGCAGCTGCCTGCAGCCCTGCAAATGGCGCTGACTGCTGTTGCCCAACTCCTGTCAGGGGCGTGGGATACTCACCCAGGGAGAACATTTTGGAGAGGCTCCTCAGGCTCTGTGTGAGCAGCGTGTTTGGCTGTCCCTGCGCGTTGCTCAAGCTGCAGAATTCCCTCAGATACTCCTGCGGGTCGAAGCTGCGCTGGTAAAACTCAGCGTCCGTGAAGGCAGCGGGAGCGTCCATCCTGCCGGGAGCGAGGTCTGCGCTCGCTCCTCCTGCCGCACGCTGCTCAGCCCCTGTGTACTTTCGGTTTTCCCCACCCTCCTGTGTCCTCCGCTCCGTCCCTGCGCGTTGCTCAAGCTGCAGAATTCCCTCAGATACTCCTGCGGGTCGAAGCTGCGCTGGTAAAACTCAGCGTCCGTGAAGGCAGCGGGAGCGTCCATCCTGCCGGGAGCGAGGTCTGCGCTCGCTCCTCCTGCCGCACGCTGCTCAGCCCCTGTGTACTTTCGGTTTTCCCCACCCTCCTGTGTCCTCCGCTCCGGCCACGCTCCCGTTCCCAAGCATGGCCCTCTCCCACACTCCATTGCTGCACCCAGCTTCGCTCTTTGTGTAGTAACTCCCTGTTGAAGCCCCCCA